GCAAGGGCCGCATTCCTGCAATTGGAAAACATATGAAACAAACGGAGCATATAGAAACAGCTGTCTGCAAGTCAACATCAAACTCAGAATCTTCATTATGAATATCAAGGCAGTTCTACTGTGAGGAGCTAAAACTTGGGGCAATACCACAGCCACCACCAAAACGTACGAGTATTTATAAACAATTGTCTACGCAAAATATTCAATGTTCGTTGACCGGATACCATCAGCAACAGCCTACTGTGGAAGAAAGCAAACCAGCTTACAAGTGAAGAGGAAATAAAGGAAAGACGATGGAAGTGGATAGGACGTACACTTACAGATGGACAGAATATATCGGAACAATACTTTTTCCAGAACGTGTAGTTACTGTTACAAAAATAAACTCGTAAGATCAACTAGGAACAGGAAAGAATTGAGCATTATGAATAAGCATTAATTACTTGACAAAGATTAAAGAAGATCCTGACAAGACAAGCACAAACATGACTAGTTCACTAGTTACGAAGTGAATGAAAAGTCTGTAATAATCTCCTAGTGTTTTGTTTTACATGTTCTCGTACGTAGTTGTATGCTAATTGGCAAATATCTCTGATTGTACAAGCTTTTTAAAAATAACCGTTTTTACTCTTAGATGTAAAGTTGTTATTTAGACTCCTCCACTCCTAGGATTTCAAAATTTTGGTCGCATCCGGAACTGTTACCAATTATTTTTATTGCAATTCGGCCTTTTAGACGTTTCAAATAGTTTTATGTCTGACGGACCACATTAATTTTGTTTTTACTTGATTTCTTACTCTATCAACTGCTACCTCAAATTGCCCTGACTTGATTATTACTCTTTGAACCGAAAAGGACAGATTAGTGTTCCCTGATCGACGGGGACACGTCTCCGTTATTCTGAATAGAAACAAATGTGGTGTGTAACGGAAAGAGAACAGTGAAAATCCCTCTGCAGCTTCTTTGTTGAACAGTATTTTCATTTATTTGTTCCTTCTCCCTTTTGTGTATTCCAACCCTTGTTTCGATATCGTTTAACCATGTCTTTTGTTCTTCAGTCTTCCCTGTTTGAGCCTTTATTATGTGATTTTGATTAAAGACTTATTTTTGTTACCTAATTTTCTATTGCATGTTGCCGGACCATTGACAGTAAGGTTGTGTTTGACTAAGCTCAAGGTCACGGCGTGGTTCAGTTTGTGACTGTTAACCTTCTGACTGTCTGCTTGGGAGAATTGCTGCAATCCCTGCAGATAGATATTTGATCCCATCTTATTGGGAATATTTGTATTGATTCTCAGGTATCAAACCCTTTAGTATTAACTGTTTAATTGTTTAGCGCGCTACTTTGCGTTAGAGAAACTTCTGACTGTATAGCACAGGCTGTACCGTTTGAGGTATTTTGTATTTTTGATGTAATTTGTTCTGTTTTCTTAATTAGAACCGTTTATATTGAGCACAGAATTTGTGTTTTGATATAATATAATACGAGTATCTCAAAGACGCGTTGTGAGCCACACAGAGGAACTTGGTCTGGTCTAATCGAATAAATTTCGGGTTCGTCAGTCCGTTGTTCCAATCGAATATTGGCTGTTCGGTCGTTACATGGTGTGATTTAGCAATTTATCTACTTTATGGAATTCAAACTGTATGAGAATTATTGTTTGAACGCTTATATATGTGTGGGAATGCCTCATGCATACACTCCATGTGGCAACATTACCTTGTTACCTTTTGTACGTAATACTTTCTCTGTCGCCTCCTGTATTTGAGCATATTACGTTCATTTTTTTACTTTTACCTGTTATCATAACATTATACTGCTTATTGAGTCGATTAATAAACGTTTGTTTTAATTAACATCGCCGGCGAGACCATAATTTATGGACGAACCAATTACGTATAAGGTAACAGGTGGCTGCCATATAAGACTAATGTACTTTGGTTGACCGTGTGAACTGGCTGTTTCTACTCTCTGTTAGTGCCAGAGAAGCGCGAACCCAGCTTGTTTTGGGAATGATTGATGTTTGTATCCGGTGGCTAATTAAACTCCTCATATTGTTATTAGTTAGGAGTCGATCGCCGATCTCTCAAAAAATTGAATGCTGTATTTCTATGAAATGACTATTTCAGTCGTACATGATTTTGCGGCTGGTGTGATTACCAGATACAATGCTTCCAGTTGTGCCCACTATATTCTCCTTGTCTTCGACATGGGTATACAAACTACTCTTAGCCACTCTGAATTTCATTATTACTGATTATCATATCGAATTAACTTGTCTTTTTCTTTGGGTACAGTAGTGTCCCTTGAACAATAGGAACTCTGTTCGTATTGTAATTATCTGATCATACCAATGAATATGTATCTAACCTCCTACATGAACAGGCTTACAAACGCAATGCGTTCAGTTAAACCTGTTTCCACTCGACCGCAACCAACTGATGTTTTCGTTCAACCTGTCCTACAATGTAATACACACGTGTTTGCACGTCGCGACTCACTTTTACAACCTCTCAAAAAAGTATACGAAGGACCCTTCAAAGTTCTTCAGCGTGAACTTAAGTACTATACAATCGATAAGAACGGAACTAACGATAACATCCACATCGACCTTATCAAAGCACCATATTGAGAAAGAGACCCATCCACGTCGATTTTCCCACGGTACACTCGAAAGACACTGGTCTTGCAATTGCGATGCCTCACCCAATAATCAACATTCCCGACGACGTGTTGGTAGTATCTGACAACCGACTCTAAGCAACGCGTTCTGAATGAAGAGTGAGGTTTCCGGAACACCCAAGTGAGTACTTCACCTAGGACAGTACATAACATTTTGTTTCGTCTTGAAATTTACGTACTAATGTGTCAAGAAACAAAAATAAAATATTTTCAATTTGCCTGTGTATATTTATTATTTTCATTCAAAAAAAATCGAAGGTAAAGCTTCTTGTTGTTAGTGTGCTTGATTGTATGTGCATATTTCTATTTTATCAAAAACCAAACAGTCTTTCTGCGAAAATCGTTTTTACGCTGTGACATGTTTGCGAAGCGCATGTATGTAGGTTTATTTTCTTTTTTGTCTTCACGTATGTACGAGTTTAATTAGACATGCGCTTACATACCCTCTCTTTCTCTTCTCCAGGACGGCTGGAAAAGACGAAAAACTGACGAAGTCTACGATGAGTCGAAGTTTTCATGGTACATGTTTCTTCGTCACTATAGTGTACCACATGACCCCTCATAGTAACGAAAGACCAACAAACGCTCCTGAACACAGTAAGCCATAAGAAGAGTGTTTACCAACGACAGACATGTTGGTTTTAAATTTCCGGCTAACCGTGTCTTAAGGTCATCATTACCCCACTAGCTCCGTAAGTCTTCGACATCTGGTGCTGACCACATCACTTTGGGTGGACTAACCTAACTGGAGGCGCTCGAACACACATCCACACCAGAGCATGAGTGGGTGCTCTGTGCTCAACTTATTCTACAACCACTAGCCAGTCTAAACCAGTCGATTCTCGATATATTGATAGCCTGTCAAATATATCTTCGAACCTCCTCACTCCTGTCTTTTGATTTCACTCGGTGGGTACGATTCATAGTGGGTGTTACTGGTTAAAGCATTGTCAAACACCAACTACCTGTGGCATATTCAACTGTGTTCCTCTTCGTAACTTTGGGATGCATCTGAGATTTTCATGCACACCTACGAAATTTAATTAATGCTTTATATAATGAAATCTCTACCACTTCTTACTACTTTTGAAATGATGCTAAAACCTAAGAAAGGGTTCCAAGAAGGATAATTTAAATGATGTCTCAATTAAAAAGTAAGTCTAACTTCTTTAACCCAAAACAACAAAGTTTCAGACTGTGGAGGACCGGAATATTAGGTAGGACTTTGATTGGGATGGAGTATAGATCTCATAATTCAGTTCTCAAAGACTTATGGCGACTCATGTGCAATTGGGTTTATTTTCATTTAACTCAGTTAAGCCCTTTTGCTAACTCATTTAGCGGACAAAGTCATCCGCACTATAACAATTTATTGTACCCTTATTATTTTGTGCTTGTATGAAATACGTATGCTTGAATATTGATTACGGCCTACGCATTTATTCACTCTGCTAGTCTTACTACTAACTGCTTATTTGATTCGATTACTCATTCATTTCACATGCCATATATATGTCCATGTTATTCATACTCACTCACTCACACACTCTCGTCTCGCTCTTGCTATGGCTTTCGCTCGCTTGCTTGCCTTTCGGCACAACTCTTCTATGCTTGTTTAACGCATATGTACATTTGGATATATATGTGTGGACTCGTAATAAACGTGATCAACACTTCGTATTTGCCTTCTGATTAATATACCGTTGGGACGTCATATAGAGCGGTTATCAAGACGAACTGTATATGACGTTTAAGGATTATATCGAATACCGACCACCACAGACTGGTCCTCATTACATATCAGTTATTAATTTCACTAAACATATGAAAGTACGCACAAATGTCTATGCAAATGTCCATGAGATTGAGGTCTGTAGACTGCGGAGTTCAGTGCCTGAAAGAACCGTAATGGGATTCTTGCGAAATGATGTTCAACTCTTATTCCAAAGGTATTGAGGAATATCATTGTTGTTGTTATTATTATCAAGCACTACTATGAACTGATGTTTTATCTTTCGGAGTTCCTAGAGAACTGAAAGGATAAATATACCCCTCATGATCAGGAAACATATTATGAAATGTAGACGTAGCCTCTTGAGAAACAAATTTGGTATTTCTTCCCAGTGGTGTTTTTGAGCAAAAATTCTATTTTTTCTTACAACATGACTCACTGGTGCGGAGATTTATGCCTAAACGTTTTCATGGATCGTTGTTTCATATCAACATATTTTAGTCTGCAGTTGCTTTTACTAACGTAACCGCTTCATGGAACGATTGGACATTGTTTTTGACCTCGGAGAGCGTAAGATAATTATGTTGGCGGTAACTTCATGTGTTTTGTGTTAAGATAGGGACAGCCTCTCATTTACAATTTCGGATTGATTGTTTGGTCCGGTACCATTATTTTAGGCATTTGCAGTTGAGCCGAAACTCCTCCTTTCGTAGAATTTACTTCAACGGCAATCGAGTTGCTCATTACATTTGGATGGTTGGTGGTTCGGTTTTAATGACATGGATATGGTTTGTTCCCATACTATGACAAATATACTTGCTCAGAAATACTTAAGGCTTACATGAGTTTAAATACAAAATCATCCAGCAGAATCAATGGATGGTCGTTGCCAATTCATCCTTTACAATGTCTATCCTGGTTCGCTACTGCTCTGTTCTCGATAATCTACTTTGGAATACTCGTCCCATCTATCGTCATTCGAGCCAGAATTCCTCTTTTTGTTGTATCCTTCATATACCCGATTGTGACTGATGAGTATCGATCCCCAAACATTGTGGTATATGACATGGGAAATTTCCTTAGCTCACCTAGTGTTATGTCCGGGTGTGATTAACTAAGCTAAAAGCCACCTAGCACACTAAGACTGACGAAAAATAATCGAAATGTTTGATTAGTTCTTATAAATGCATTTGTTCTATTTCGTTACTTGTATGGTCATGGGGAGGTCAAAACTAGTTGCAAATGTATGTAATAGCTGGTTGGAGTTACTTCATATAACAATTCAGTCATTAAAGCATTCAATGTGCATACGCTGTGTTTAATAAAAAAATATGGCAGATGTTGGTAGACTGAATAGGTTAAAGTATTCCAGCTAAATGAGGTCAACTTTAAAACCTGTCGTCATTTGCTTGTACATGCTGTATGCCAATAGTGGGATATTTCAATAGACGTAAAAGAGCAATAATATAGGGACCCATAGTTGCCTGTATTGATTAGGTTTGTGTTGCGTTCTGACACCCCTGTTCTGTATAAATGTTTACATACAATAGTTTTAGTAATGTTCAGGGAAAAATATCTTAGCTAGTAAAGACACTTTCAAATAGTACTTTAAATGTTATTTTGGTTATTAATGTTACGTTCAGAGATTATTGTTATTTAGGGACCATTTTGTGTCATTTCTATGATCCTAGTACTTCCCCCTTTCTTTAGTGAGGAGGTTTGTCACGATTTTCTCATTGTAATCAACTCTATCCATCCTTAATTCATACATTAGATCAATGCCGTGTGTATTGCTGCTTATATTGTTCTTAATATAATTGCGGTGAGTATTAATCCAGCTGATACAGCTGTCAGAGAAAAACAAAAATCGCGTGGAAATAAAGTTTCCTCTTTGGATCCTAAACATGTACATGTGATTGAGAACTTTTATTGTAATTTGTGTGAGCTGCCAATGTAAGTATTTCGTGTTCTGTGGTATTTTTGTGTTTACTGACTTGTTATTTTCAAGCCTTTATTTTTCGTAATGGATGATTGAGCCTGTTTGTGTGATTTCAGTACTCAACTCCCCAAGTTGAGAAGCTGAGTATCTCACCTACTGCCAACTAATGTTTAAGAACGGACTAGTATCGATGCCCTTATGTTTTAAACCCTTTCATCTTTCATTTACATAATACTGTTTTCATCATTATGTCCATTGTTTTGGTCCCTTAATCTTTTGCCACTGTGCTGGTGTTTAGCTTGACACTTCTAACTGTTATACATTTATCTTTATGCTGTCTGTTTTTCTGTCACAATTCAGAGCTATCTTCCGCCTTAGGACTAAAAGTGGTGGCATTCAGCTGGTTGTATCTCAGATAAAGATGATAAGAGATTATCTGTATCCTTGTCGTTTAACTGTCACCCCCAGTTAGGCTTACAGAATTATATTACATAGAAGACTATCAACTGTAACCCACTAGAATAATACTACTCTCTCTGTCGTGGGAAGGGATGCCATTGGGTGTTTTACAATGTCACCATGAGGAAAATTTTCGGGCCACCAAATAAATAGACAACTCACTTTATTTTGTTATCATTTGAACGGCGATTTTTAATAATACAGAATACTTCAGTAACGAGGCTTTCCAACATAATGTTGGTTCTCTTATTTTCGCTAAGTTGTGGACGCAAATGACAAACTTAAGAAATATACGTCAGGCGGACAGGGTTGACAAGTCAGATTTTTAGCTACCTTGTAGGACTTAAACTTGACAGCGATAAGTTGTCTCATAAAACGAAAATTAGTGCTAAAAATCAAATTGATGTGGAACGGATATTTTTGTGAATATATTAGTGGCACTATGATTAGTTTTCATCACAGAGTAATGTTTTCATTTTCGACTATCTTAGAATGTGTATAGTCTCCATTGCTATCCATGCGCGAAATCTGAAGTTAAGTGTCGATTTGATAAAGCACTCTTCATCCCTCCAATCTAATCCAAAGGATGAGAGTGAAGAGTCAGTATTTGCATTCTCACTGCACTAGGCTCTTCGTATAGATTGATGTCACTAATCATATAAACTGTCATGCAAGTCACATTGGCTTGCACTCGTTCGTAAATCTTGTGAAATGTATTGTCAAGAAAGGTTAGCAAAAACCAACCTAGTTAGAGTGTCGACTAAATCCAGTTTGTGCGAACACCAACAATTTTTTGCTGGACATAGTAAATTAGAGCTGTTCATCATAATCTTATGTGTTGCCGATAATGAATTGGAATCATTCAAGCGTGTAATTTCAAATATGCGTGTTTATTTTTTCGCAAGTAGTTCTGAAAATGATATTTGAAACATGATACTGTTGAACACTATGTGCATGTGTACTGATTCATGCATATTAACCTTTTTTTGTCCAAAAGTTCTTCATTTTACACTAAGTAGTTACCAAAAACCTAGAAAAAGTGTTTTATGCAACTAAAACTAAATAAATTGGTAAGATTATTTATATCATATGTGATAAATAGGTTTTATTCCTATTGGTTTAAAAAGCACTTGTTTCCTTTTATTCAGCTCAAGTTCCCGAACAAAACACTGCAAAAGTTGCAACAAATGTATCGCTGATTTTGATCATCATTGTAAATGGCTTAATAATTGTATAGGTAGTCGCAATTATACGTAAGTTTCTACATAAATTTTGTAATATATTTGAGTCATTGATACCAAATTATTCCCTGAATCGGATGTTTTCCACCATTAGTCTTTAATAATCTACATAGTTACCTCCCCTTCTGTCCAAAGGTATACATTTTTTTTACGTAGGTGGTCTTCCTAGTTTTCCAGAAATATATATGTAAATCTTTACGCATACCAAATTATTGTATCTACTATCGGCTTATGTGTTTATATACTCGTATTTATTTCCCATCCACGTTTTTGAGAATTAGATGGCTGATTTATTGAATGTATTAAAAACAGGTTGAAATTAGTATTTTCGTGGAAAATAATTCATCTGTTTTACATTTGTGTATGCAACTAAACCTTACTTTTTGTGTTAAATGGTTATCAAAGTCCATAATTTAATGTTTTTCCCTCTATATATGTTTAATTTGAATATAGATATTTTGCTGGGATAATCACAATGGCTTGTCTGTCACTTAGTATATCCACGAGTCTTTCTCTGTCCTTGGCTGTCGCATATTATTCAGATCGTCCATATGGATATTGGATACAAGCATATCACGGTGAGTTCTGCTAAAACTTTCATTCTGTGACATTTGGCAGCGTAAGCCACAAAAACAAGAATATTACATTCGAATAGTTCAGTATGAAATTTCCTGGATTTATTGTATTATTTTTCTATTAAAATATCCATATGCAGACTGTGGATTTATTAACCCTAGCATTGCTATCTCAAATATACATCAGTGATAAGGATTGAGGTCATTCCTATTGATTTGTCATCAGTATAAAATGAAAATACACCAGTGTGTTGTTTGTTCAACTAAATAATTACATGTTTATTTAGAGCGATGGCATCTAATATTTTCCATTTTGTTTTTCTAGTAATTTTCATTGTTTATTTTTGGTTTATAACATATAACAGTTATTGACTAAATGCACAACCTTATAAAAATCTATGCATAACATTCACCAATATCGTTCTCGTTGTGATTGTTTCAAAAAAATATCATCCGAAATGGATTCGTTGACAAAGCGTAAACTACAAGTATTGTTACTGTGGAATGAAATCTGTTTTTTATTGGAACTATAACTCAAAAGTTGGAAAGATATCGAGTTTCCTTAACACTTCTGAATCAGTAGTAATAGACTTTTTGTATCTTCTTTTTGTCCACACTTCCCGTTTTCACTTCATTTTTCTTTTTCCTTTTATAATATTACTCCCATTTTACTCTCAAGAATTTTCAAGATTTCAATCTGATTTATCCTTCTAACCGTTTAATCCATAAATTGTATCAGAGACCAGTTAAGTTTTGTAAACCGATTCTCCGTGCAGAATACTAGTTATGCTAGCTTGAGTAAAAAATTTAAAGCAATTAGTCCCTTTGATGAATTTCGATAGTGTAATAAGAAGACGAAGATTATCAGAAATATGTGATATATTATCGCAATACATTTCGAACAATTTGATCACACATATATTTGTTAAGAACATTTATATACAAGAAAACAAAAGGTCAGCTAGACTAGAAATGAAGGGTGAAAGGAGATAAAGATAGTAAAGAAACCTGGATAATAAGCTAATATTACCAGGATAGGTTTAAGGTGAGAACAAACTGCTTTTAAATACACAGAGGGGGTTTAAGTTTTCGTATGGCTAAGGCTTCAATAAGCCTTAGTATACACCCTTTTACACTTATGTGCAACATCAGAGAAGCCGAGTTAGGATAAATCTTATGACCTGTTTCAGCTATGTGTTTGGTAATAAAGGATGATGGATGTTTATCCTCTACTCTTATTGCGTTATTTGATTCTACTTGTTTCTGCAACCATTTAGGCACATGTTCACACACCCTAATTTTGAGATCACGATTACTCCTCCCCATGTATGTGTGACCACACACACATCTAAATTGGTAGACACAGTGGGATGTGGCGCAATCGTTTTATTATCTTTAAGGTTTTCGATGAAGCATGAACCTTGTTGTTTCCTTGATAATTACCTCCGCTGCACAATATATCTTGTCAATGACTGATGTAAGCCTTTGTTTCAATAAAAGGCTATTTGAATCACCTCGAAATGCTAAGGTGATGTAGACAGACCTTTTCTCTGCCAAAGCTATAGTAGGTCTCACTGCACCATGAACTTTCTATCTATTTATGAATTTAAGAGGATAGCCATTTTTCATTGATGTTTTATTTAGCAACCTGACATCATCATCAATGGCGTCACTTGTACAAATACGATCAAGCCTGTTAAATAGGCACCTTATCAAACCCCGTTTCTATTGGTTGATCGTTTAAGTGAAATTAATAACAAGGAAAAGACAATGTGTTCATTTAATGTGGATTCCTTGTTCACAACTTAACCTTTGATAAAGGCTATTAATATATTATATGACTACATATCTTTAAACAACATTAAATTACCTGTCCCTTTAAAAATTCTTAAAGATTTACTATTATTATATACGCCCCCAAATGTCCTGGTACGGCCAAGAGTGGGGAGAGTCCGTTCTCCCTCTCGAAATGCTCTCACATGGCCACGCGTACATAGCCTCTGCCAGGGAAGTCCTACTCATTGCCTCCTCGTGGCGGGGGTGTTGTTTACGAAATTGAGAGGACGTAAAGCCTATGTCCGGCGCTTTAACCGGGTTGGTGGATATGGATGATCCACCTAGGAGAGTTGGAAAACCCTGATTCAAAGCCAATAATGCACATGGGCTCCAGTATCCTGAGGGAACACATGGCGTATGAACCAATCGTTGGTCACCGGCTACCATAGGAATGCATCTTCTCACGATGCTACACTGCCTTATGGATCAGACCTTCGGGTCGAAGGCTCCGGGTGTGGCCTCCTAAGAAAACCATCTGCTTCGGTCTGGGCACCCGGGCAGTATCACAGCCCTCGCACATATCAGATGAGATTTATGTGGTGCATATGTATTTGGTGCCTCCTTGTACCAATATCTATGTGTTCAAATAAATAATAAATTATTATATACTGACAGAGTTCAGTTCACTTTTGAAGGTAAATACTTTCGCCAGATTGATCGGGTTGCTATGGGTAGTCCGTTAGGACCATTGTTAACAGATGTGTTCTTGGCACCTGTTAAAAATCTGGCTGAAGACCTAATCGAAAACATGTCATTTTACCATTGGTTTTTGTCATTCCACTCTATTTGTGTATTTGAGACGATAACCCAATTGGTGTCACCATCTTGAAACATCGACTTCGGTGGCTTGGACATGTCCTACGAATGTCGTCCCAGAGAATTCCACGTCGTGCATTATTTACCGACGCTGGGACTGGTTGGAAAAAGCGGAGAGGTGGTCAATGTATGACATGGTGTCAGGGTACCAAAGAAAACTGCGAAGAACTGACTTCTGTTGGTCCTTCACGACTCCATGGTTGGGGTCCGAGAGATGGTGCAACACTGGCTAGAGACGTTATCAGATATGGCTCAGACTAGAAGCTAGTGGCGATCCTGCTGTAACCTTCTCTTAATTTCTTCATAAGTGGTTGTATCTTCCTTAACTGAAAGATTTCTGATTGTACCTTTCCGTTTCCCCCATTATTATTATTATTATTATTATTATTATTATTATTATTATTATTATTATTATTATTATTATTATTATTAACACTACCTTACACTAACCTGTGATCGTTATTGTTCTTTTTTTCTTATACGCACCTTGCCTTCTTTTTTCTCTCCCATTCTCATTGTTTTGTGTGGCGCATATATATCTGGTGCCCCCTACTGATGGAAATAACATTCTCGTCGACTGAATTCTCGGGTATTGATCTCCTTCCAGGAGGTCCACTTATCGACTTAGAATACGCAGATGATATAGTCCTGTTTGGTGAAGACGCTGATAAAATGCAGAGTCTTTTGATAGCACTAAACAACAATGCCAGAATGTTTGGAATGCGCTTCTCTCCCTCTAAATGCAAGTTGTTGCTTCAGGACTGGTCTGCGTCAACACCTGAACTAAGGATAGGGAGTGGAGTGGTCGAACGCGTCGAAAACTTCGTTTATCTTGGAAGTCTGATCAACCCTAATGAGCTGGTATCGGACGAAATCTCAGCACAGATTCGAAAAGCTCGCATGGCTTTTGCCAACTTACGTCACCTATGGCGAAGGCGAGATATCCGTCTATCAATAAAAGGACGAGTATACTACGCGGCAGTCCGTTCTGTTTTACTTTACGGCAGCGAAACATGGCCTTTAAGAGTAGAAGACACCCGTAAGCTACTAGTATTTGACCATAGATGCCTTAGAAATATTGCTGGCGTCTGTTGGGATCACCGGGTAAGTAATAGTGAGGTTAGACGCAGGGTATTAGGGAATGATGGTAAATTAGTTGATGAGGTTGTTAATCTTCATCGACTGAGATTGTTGGGCCACGTGTTACAAATGCCTGAACACCTATTACCACGTCGTGCAATGCTAACGGGTGTTAGAGATGGTTGGAAGAGAATTAGGGGCGGCCAAACCAAAACGTGGCATCAGTGCTTGAAGGCACTAACCTCTAGTCTGAGCCATGTTGGTAGACACAAACTACTTGGTTGGGGTCCTCGTGACTTTCGTAACCGATGGTTGGAGACTCTTGGTGACATGGCTCAGAATCGATCACAATGGTGTCGGTGCATACACTCCCTGTCTTCCCTTAAACTAAGAGATTAAAATCACTTCATATATTTCTTTCTACTAACTAATTCTTTCTTCCTGTACTGTATCCTTATATGCTATCTTTCTCTTATATATTACCACCTTTGACCTAACCATTGCTATGAATCTGGTGTTCATCTTGCTGTGCTTATGAGGTGTGGCAACCTGGACCGATGCATATATGTGCCTGGTCCTACGTTGTAGCTGACTGACTGCCCCCTTGTACCAATATTTATGTGTTCAAATAAATAAATAAAATAATAAATAATCATTGGTTTCGGCCTTATGAGATGAAAATGCTAATCGCGGTCATTTTACATAAGTGATTTTTTGTTGCACTGATTTTATAGTTCATTCTAAATAATTTATTCGTTTAATTCCATTAGTTGGGTGTATTCAAATTCATTACGTTCTTCGATTACTTGTCTACATTTGGTTCATGGAATTTTCTTCATTGGTAAAACATGTTTTTTTGCAGTTTAACTGTTCAGCTTAATCAAAGTTTAGTCATTAAATCTATCATTGAAGTTATTTCTGTATGATTTGTAGTATCTAAAAAAAGCAAAGCAATCATTGAAATATTTAGTCAATAACAGACTTAAAAGGTATATGCAAGGAGAGAAAACATTCTTATTCCTATTCTTACTATTAATTGTGGTTAGAGTAGGTAAAATTTATTTTATTCACAACGATTCACTACGCGTATAAACTCCCTTAATTGTAGCATACAAAATGTTTTAGTGAAAAGCCACGCCTAATCATCATTGTTTAATGATAGTTAACTGCTAATTTTTATTGGCATACGTAATAATAAGATTATTATTTAATATGACATGTTATGATCATATTGCCTACTTATTATAACGAATATTAATAACAAAGAATTCAATTGCCATAGACTTCATAGGCTTTTTCTCTTTTAAACTTCCTGACATTTTTAAATTGTCAATAATTTCTTGAATTTAAAGTGTAATTAGCTCATAAATTTAGTCCGATTATTAATGGGTCAATTATGAATTGTAAAATAAGACAGTTAATTTTTTGTTTTAACATTCACTTTTCTTATTTATAATATAGTTTGCAATGAATGATTCTTTTCAACTGATAATAGTCTCATTCATTTTAACAATATTTATGATTACATTGATTCGCCTATGATTATTTTGAAATGAATTCTGAAAACTGATTGTAAATGATATTCGGATCAAACAAATTAATAAGTTTCGAACCATAACAACCTAATATTTGTTGAATATTTAAGTGAAATTTAAATATGTAAATATGTCTTATCGTCTGTGTATATTCTTCAAAGTTTGTGCTAATTCGGCGATACTCTAATTTATGGACGAACCGACCACGTATAAGATATTAGGTCTCGGATTTTGGCGCGCAATTCATTCATCCATTCGGATGAACAGAGTTTTGACATTATAGCTGATGTCAGTTCGTGATGAAAAACCGAAATCTAATTCCTAACCTTAATCATCAACTGTAAATTCTAATTCTAATTCCTCACACTGGTTTATAACCCTCATTTGATCCTGGTTATTAAGTGGACACGCTCAAGGTCAGTCTAGCTTCTCTCAAAGGTTGTTCCTAAACTATAGTCTCATCTCTAATTCTTTTTACCGTAGTGTTTGTTTTGTTGTGTCGAAATTTTTTAAAATATAAATGCAGAAATTTATGAATTAAGTAATATAATCTATTGAAGACATATTTATTTTTAAATCAGAAAATAGTCTTATTATTGGTAATGTAAAGGATTTTGATAAATTACTGAGGATTTTTGTAAACCGCAAAACTTATCAAAGTTAAAGAAGGTAAAAGAATAAATCACTATTACTTCATTAATTCGAAATTTTTAGCTCTAACTTTGTTAATTTCTGGTTTTTGCGCTGATAGAAGACTGGTAACTGAAACCCAATACACCAGGTACTACACTGTTTATGATTGAAAAACTACTTGCATAGACTTTCTATGAAATTGATTTTATTCTTAAGTATTTTTCACTATTTTAGTCGTAGCACTATGTTTTTACCTATTCAGATCAACATAATGCGTCGTCTGTATAATCACATTACTGATTTTTTAAAAAATACTTAATTCCATTCCTATGAAACACATTGTAATTGCTAAATATTTTTATGGTTATGATAGCAGATAGAAGACTGACCGATATCTTAATAGCTAAGTTCATTGAATCTTCATTAACTTCCAGATATCATTACATAGTAATAGTTCATACTATTTATGAGTTCATATAATGTTTATTTTGTCCTATATATTGCATAAAAGTATGTTATTATTACTGAGTAGAATGGACCTTTTGTTGACCAGTTATACTGTATTTCACCCTAAATCCACCTGTGCGCTTCATGTCAGTGTTTTGGTTTTGGTAACCAATATGCACTGTGCCAAATTTCACAAACTGTACAGTAACGAACATTATAATTCTCCACTGTAACAGTTAAACAAGTATGAAATATGATTACATCATTCATATGAAGATAAAATGTTGACCTAGGTCACCTATTTAGTAAATACAAGTGATGTGTATCAATTGTCAGTTAAACATTGTCAACGATCGAATGTATAATATAATTATCCATACATATTATGATATTAATACTCTTACACCTGTATATATAATTGGTCAATTATTTAATCGTGCTTTATTATTTCTGCCAAATACAGTTTTCCGGTTTCCTTATTCATAAATGCTTCAACCCAACATCATATTTGAACAATAAAATAAAAATTTCTTAAGAAATCATTAAACCTACAAGCGTGGTATCAGTGCTTGAATTCACCAACTTCTCGTCTGAGCCATGTTGGTAGATACAAACTACTTGGTTGGGATCCGCATGACTATCGTAACCAATGGTTGAAGACTGGGTGACGACTCAGAATTGATCACAATGGTCTAGGTGTATACACTCCCTGTCTTCCCTTAAACTAAAAGATTAAAATCGCTTCATACCTTTCTTTCTACGAACCAATTTTTTCTTCTTGTACTATATCTCTATATGCAATCTTTCTCTTATATATTACCACCACTGAATTAACTACTTCTATGAATCCGGTGTTCATCTTGTTGTGCTAATGAGGTATGGCAACTTGGACCGATGCACATATATGCCTGGTCCTACGTTGTAACTGACTGACAAGCGTAAACTTTGTAGTTATTGTTAAATTTAATTCATCACACCTATTTGTGCTAGGTTGTATTAACACAACTTCCATTCAAAATATATAGACATATATACCTATGCTGAATATTTATTATTTGTTGCTTGAGTCAATGCATTTTTATGTATTGGCAAAATAAACCCTTAAATTACCTCACTAGTTAAACATGCCAAATGTTGGTAGTGTCATAGTGAGTTTATATTGAGCTCCCCTATTAGTTGTATTTTTTGTGGGGGTATGAACTGAAACATTATTAGTCAAGATTTTTGTCTTTATAAAGGCATTAGACTAATATTCACCAACATGGACATCATGTTGGATAATGTGTTGTTTACAGTGTAGTACACGCATAAAACAAGTTTAAATTTCCAAATTCATTTTTCGTATATCAAATGCCGGATCAACGTAATGGATTATCTGGGATAGCATTTGATGTCATCGTCATTTTACTCCAACTGTAAAGTGCGTTGGTACACAGGGTTGCATTAAGTGTAATCTATGGTTTTTAAAGCCTGGCCTTTATCTAAAAATGTTGGGTTATTCTGTTCATTTAATTGTTGCTGTCTTTTTATGATTAGTCGCATTTAGTGTCGATACCAAATGTGTTATCCTAAGTTTCAGCAATGTGTTTGGTAACCAACCTTTGAAATCGTCTTCAGACACTAGCCTCTGAGGATCTGGTATGTTTTACGTATTCACTTCAATATTTCTCGTGCTGAGTACTGGTCCAGCTATTCATTAATGAAGGGATTATTTTGTGATGTCATTCTAGGGTGAACGAATCTTGATCAAGTTATCGTCATGATTCCCTCTGAGGAGATCAGAAAAATTACTCAACTCAGTAGTTTAAAGGGAAACCTAAAATCAAAATCGATAACTATTGTTTAGTGTTTTGCGTCTTTATTTTACATAAATAGTAATATATTTTAATCGAAGTAATATCTACTTCTATTCTGTTTTTATTTATCCTGGTTTCCTTAAATATTGTTATGATTAGATTACTTTTCCCCTTCCACAAAAATATCAGCTGTTGTTTTGTACCTCATTCTATCTAATTATTACTTTTGTGTTAAGAAGAAATTATTAGAAATATATGTTCAGATATTGAATTGTTTATCATACATTTTTCGTTATTGCTTTTTTGTCTTATCAGATTACTGGCAAACATTCACCAATGGGACCATTGAACATCTAGATTATTTAATAAACAATGGTAAGTGCTATTTTTGGTATATGTTCCTCTTAACTATGATATTTCTTAAAAAGCTCGGTCTTCTAACCACATCTTCTATTTTTTTAAATGTTATTATTTCAAATACAAAATTTTGACTGTTAACATATGTTACACATGTTTTCAATATTCAATAAATTATCTGAAAGTTCTGTATTCATTGGACCCTCTGATTATGGTTTGGAATAACGCAACTCACCATTCAAACGATTTACAACATCTGATCGTCCTTTAACTATTTTAGCAGATATCATACTCGTGTTATCACTATATGAACAAGTATTTTTCAGTTCTAGCAGTTAACTTCTGAGTGTGTTCACATTAGGCGGTCAACGATATTTAACCGTTTGTTAATTACCTAATTTCTAATTTATGAAATTCATCAACAAAAGAACTTTGCAGTATCTAAATTTACCTGTTCTAAAGGGTCCAAATATAAGCTACCACACTGATGTGGAGCGTGCTAAGTAGAACTGACACACATATATAACAGTTCCCAGGTTGGTTATATATATTATATAGCGAGCATGTAGTTCAGTAGATCACTCTATCATTATAACTGTGAAATGCAGCTTATGAAAGTGGGAAACATATATAGGTTGCGATTATTTGTGTTAGCACCCATCAAGTTTTTACCTCATTAAATGTAATTTTAATACCGTAACTCTTTGGCGTCCAAGTTGAAAACAAAAAATCAGTTACTTGTGAGTTTAGGCTTAGCACCAGCACGTAGGTAATACTAGTTCTTGCACGATATGTCCACTATTTAGCATGCCTTTTCAGTGATCGTTAAACATTCAAAGTAGGTTTGAATATCTGGAGAGATCTTATCTGTCAGATAGTCGTCTCTACAATTGTTTTTGTATGCCAACAATCAAACTTATTTGTAGTTTATATGTTTATGTATTTGAAAACCATGTTACTCCTTTTAGAGGGATAATCTGACAAACATATTGAGTTGAGAAAATGTGCTGAATAAGATATCTTCAATCCAATGCATTTATCGTTAATGGTTTACTTAATCATTGTCAAAACAATTACGAAGTAAATAATCATCCTATGAGATTGAGTTTTTCTTGTTTACTTCATATAGTTATTCATTAAAAATCGGAGCATTTATATTAAAATAAAGCTTTCCAAATATTTTTTCCGCAGCCTTTGTACTTAATATCTGCTAATTGTCAGGCTGATTGACTAACCTATTTAAAAATACTTTGTACTTGACTGTTATCGTGATTTATAACCACTTGGCTTTTTTTAAAGTAGGGATTCACTACATCTGTACTAAGTTTCAGCGGACCTTTCAAATAAACATTTTTGTCATTGTTTTGAATCACCCTCAGTTTTTATCCCATCATACTTATAAATTATGTGTTTATTTCATGTATATATTTTTTCGTAACTGGTTACTGACTTCTTATTTCAACATTGGAATTCATAGATGGAGTTTTCCGCATATTCGGTTTAAATTCATCTGGATTGGTTTTCTTTATAATCGCTATTGTTGGATGTTTATTTACTTTTTGCATTGATGCCTTTTTGGTGCATCTAATAATCTTTCATATATACTTGTGTAAGTTTATAATGTGTTAAGTATTCTCGTTCTGTTTCCGTAGCATTTGTCAAGGATGTAGCACTCATTTCTCTCGTTTTTCCTTACTCTTAGCTCTCCACCTCAGAGCTTTCTGTCTATTGTATACTGACCCTGACATTTGAATATTGTCCTTTGTTCTGATCTTGCGTCCTATTGACTGTAATTGTTAAATTATCTGTTCCTGGAATTTCAGCTATTAGAAGAAGGTTAAGTAGACCGTGCCAAGAAGCCAACAGCATTGTACGGATTGTAAACAAACTAAGGACATCGAAACATATCAAGTTGACGTTGTTTACGGATAACTGTATATCGTAGACTGTTGGGTGAAAACATCTGTAATTTTCATGCACGTATTTCGTGTCTATGGTGTTACATAGTTGTCGTTTTGAAGGAGCTCAGCACTAATGACTTGAGTTAGTCAATCAGTCATACTCAACGTAGATCCTGGCACTTGTGTACATTTGTTCAAGTTGTTAGACTTCATTAGCACAACAAGATGAAATTGTCAGGACAAATCCCAGAGTAGTAGAGGCAATAACAGTAGTAGTGGTAATCGAAAAGACTATGCATCTAAGATACGAGTCGACTAAATGTAAATTAGTAAAATAGACTTCAAAAATTTATGAAGAAGACAAGGAGTGAATGCAACTGCAATATTGCGTACGATTCCGAGTCATGTCATTCATGTCATTACGATAATCATGCGATCCACAATTATGTAGTTGGTATCCAGCTACAAGGATCTGTGTCCAAGAAACAGTATCTTTGTGTGTTGGTTTGGCTACTTATAGCTTTCTTCCAACCTATTCCTACAATAGCCGTCATCGCAGGTCGAGGTAGTTGGTGTATTGGTCCACGTAATACAGGTTTTAGCCATCTCAGTCAATAAAGATTCCCTACCTCGTCAATTACATGGCACAAGTCCATGAAGTTACTGACAAGAGGACTGAGTCATGTTAGTAGGTGTAGACTACCTGGTTGGGGATCGCGAGATGATAACAACCGATGGTTAGAGACCCTGAATGGCATGGCTCAAAATCGTTTGCAATGGCGCAGGTGCATCCACTTGTTGTGTTCTCCCAAATTCTAATCTCCTGAATCCTCCTTGTCTTTTTTTCTCTTTCCAAATTTATTTTACTGGATTATACTCTTTAAATAACATATTCAAACCCTAATCTTTCCGATTACTGCTTATACTCTTACCGCCTCTACCACTACGGGATTTGAATCAACCAATGCATCTCTGTCCTAATGTGGTATGGCAACTCGAACTGATGTACGTACGTACGAAGTTCTACGTTGTTACTGACTGACCTCGTCAATGGATTTGTAATCATTACGTGGTACTCTATGTCCGACCTCAAAATCGCTAACTCGATGGTCCCAAAATATCCGAGCAATGCTTTGACGGCATCTATGATCGGATACTCGTTACGTATAAATATTTTCTATTTTGAAAGTCCATTTTGCACAGCTGTATGGTAGAACGGAGGAGATTGTATCCATGATCAATAACAACCACTAGTAATCGACCTAAAAGTTACTCATACCGAAATGGAAGATTTTGTGCCGTTGATGTGCAACTTTGAAGTAACCAATCAATTGAACATCAAATTAATTATTTTTTAGGTATCAATGCCAAGGTTAGACTTGATAGTTTCAAATAGAAAGAGTATTGAGTAAAAAGTCAATAAATATATTTTCGTTATATCCCAACGAGTAGAAATATTATATTTCTGATGTTTCGTGACTTAATGTAAGCCACTTCTGTTAAATAAGCAACTAAAGTTAACAGTGCAAATTCTCTTATGAATCCTTTTCTGTTAAAAAAGTTAACGGCGAAATCTTATTTCAGCAGTGTACAGTGGAGCGCTACATGTTCTTGTTAGACACTTAATTTTATGCATTAAATTACTTTCTCAACAACTGTTATCAACAAGAGAAAAATAGACCTGAATCATATCATTGTTGTCCTTAGATTTTCATAAATGATTTGTGCTCACTGTCGCTCGCGCTTTTTTGATACTTTTAGAATATATGCTAAAAATAGTCCTGAAATTGTGGTTAAAAATAAAGTTTCTTAGGCTGGTTTAATTGCTATCAGAATAAACAGTTGAAACCTATCTGACGAACAAAACTAATAAAACGTACTACCATAGTGCACTAGACATATAATATTCCACTGTTCAAATCGAAGTAAATGAAGTGATTTCTTGAAGTTGTGTTTGGGTAGTTGAGAGTTGAACTCTAAAGCATCAATCCGTGGTTTACATCATTCATTTTCAGTTCAATAATGACATGTGTAATGAATATTGTTTTAAACCTCATTAATTACCATATTTTTCTCTCATTTATTTCAGATATAAAAGGTATGACAACATATGAATTTATAGTTTTACAACGTCAAAAATCTAATCCATCTACTGAAAATCAAACATCGAATAATGTTGATCAAAGTAAAAAGAAAAATCTATTCTGTAGTATTAAATATATTGATTTATGTGAAAAAGAAGATATTGCTGAAATGTCATCACAGAGTCAATCAAATGGACCATTTACTACGAGTAGTAAAGTTGTTTTATCTTTACCGTCCACTGGTAAATCATCCGATCAACCAATTGTAACAGGTGATTTAGCCAATAATAGCAGTAGTATTTGCTCAGATAAACCACAAACTATCTCTAATAGTAAGATATTTTCAGATGGAAAAGAATGTCTGCCTTCAATTTCAACGTCTAATTTCATATCAGAAAGTACACAACGAGATAATCCGGTATATTTATCCTCCCTATGCAAAGTGAGTATATATTTAACTTTTTTGACTTATATGTAACATTGTTTGCAATTTATTTGCTTTTATTTGACGTTTGAGTTGCATAAGGTAAATTTCAACAAATGTAGCCATCTATTTTTACGTTTAAACATAGTCATTAAATTAATATTCGATCAGTATTTTAGTTTTTTCCGTGTTATTCAAATAAATCAGTTTTGTTTATCAACTAAATAATCATGCAGAAAAATTCTATTCAAATATTATACGATCTATTTAATGGTGCTGTTATAGTGGAGGTTTACTTTTTAGTGATATTGTGTCGTGTGATTTGTTCCTTTCAGTCTGCTCACTTACGTACGTCTGTTATTCCTTGTGGAACAGAGGCCACCGACCGGAATTCCCCAAAATACTCTGTCCTAGGCTCTCTTTTCCATTTATTGCTAAGTGCTATTCATTCTTTTGATGCTTGTTTTCAATTCCCTTCTCAATATGTTCTTGGGTCTCCCTCTTTTCCTTTGGCTTTGATGATCCCAAGTCAAGGCTTGTTTCGTGATGCAGTTTGACGACTTCCCTAAAATGTGTCTTGTCGTATCTTTTTTCATCAACTGAGGTCTGGTTTGTTCTCTGCCAAAGTAGGTTGTTGTTGTTGTTGGTGTCCGGCCAACGAATTTGTAGTGGCTTGCGTAAACAACTGTTTATAAATACTTTTACTTTTGGATGATGGTTGTAGTAGTTCTCTAAGTTTCAGCTCCGCACAGTAGAATTGTATTGACGTTCCTATTGAAGATTCCGAGTTTGGTGTTGGCTTGCAGACAGTTGTTTTGAGTTCCATATGTTCTCCAACTGTAGGTTTGTGGCCTTTGCTTTGCCGATCCTTGTCTTTACCACTGACATAAGATCTTCCTTGTTTACCGATGATGCTGACCAAGTTCGTGAAAGTTTCCACCTCTTCTAGAGTTGCTACATCAAGTGTGATTTGGTTAGTGCTCACTATGTTGTATTTGAGGATCTTACTTTTTCCCTTGTGTATGTTGAGGCCTACTGCTTCAGAGGCTGTTGCTACACTACCTGTCGTCACCTGCATCTATATGAGTTAGAAGAGCTAGATCCTTTTCAAAGTCCAAATCGTCTTGTTGCATGCATGCTGTCCATTGTATCCCGTGCTTCCCTAACGATGTTGAGGCTTTCATAAGCCGAAAGAGGAAAGGCGAGAGTAACCAACGTTGTCTAACGCCGGTCTTTACGTGGAACATATCTGTAAGCTACTCTTCATGGAGGAATTTACGGTGTACCTGTCATAAGAATTCCATATGATGTTGACGATCTTCCCACGTACTCCATGTTTTGGGAGGAATTTACTGTAGGTTTTTCTCTGCATGCGTTTAAATGCTTTCTCATAGTTAAGGGAGTTGATTTGTAGTGGCGAATTCCATTCAGTTAATTGCTTAACAATGATACGTGATGTCAGGATATGGTCGGTATATGATCGATTCTTACGAAAGCCAACCTTATCGTCTAGAAGTTGGGCGTTTACTAAATCTTTCGTTCAGTTTTGAAAAATGTCTATGCTACTGACAGTAGTGCGTGCCTCTGTGGTCGTCACACTTGCTAAGGTCACGTTTCTTTGGTATCTTGATGAGGTACCCCTCTATCCAGTCTATTGGCATTTGTTTTTCTGCCCATAATCTTCTTAGGTGGATGTGTAACGTCCTTGCAGGTACTTCTGTTTTGGAATTCAGTGCTTCAGCTTGTATTTTGTCTGGTGCTGCTGCTTTCTCACTCTTAGCTTGTCCGATGGGGACGGTCAAGATTATTCCTGTACGTAAGGAATCTACTATATATATATATATATATATATATATATATATATATATATATATATATCAGATAAGACTTTGCGATAGAAGAATTATCCGACTAGAAAATAACAAATGTCATGCTAAATATGAATTTAAAATTGTGCTCTCCTTTATTGCAGCAAGAAACAACTAACCCTTATTTACAAAAGTCATCTATGACATCCTTGTTATATGCGTTACTTAATGTTAACGATCTTAATATTCTCAGCCTAATTAGTATTTGGGTTTGTGTTTGTCGTTACAGTTTTCGGATCGTATTACAGCAATCCCTAAAGAGTACTATATTGATATGGTGTTTTTAAATGGCCTAAAATTCACTTCATATATTCCTCCTTTAGATGTATTCATCGTATGTAGCCCCTTTTTCTTTTCATGTATCCAACGTTAGATTACTAGATGATCTAAGTTTCATGTAAGCTTTGGTTGTAGCTATTCGTTAGTTTTCGAAAGGAATAATCTAAAATCATGATGTACTGTACTTTTGTTTGTTTCTAGCTTGAGATTCCTCATCTTTATCCTTGATACGAAATTCAAATGTCTCATTTTACAAAAAGAAAAATACAAATTACCTATCAATTATACAAAAATATTTTCGAACTTAACTTGAGAAGTTGTTTTTTTCATTGTGAATAGGTTATCTATTTTATGCTATACGAAGACTAATCGATTATATATATATGCACATATGTACTTTTTCACTAGAATAAACGTCGATTTATATTCTCATTTATGTAATAACGATTATTATTATTATTTTATCAATGGGGAAAATGGGTGGAGTTTGCTCTATCATATTAGGGCTAGAATATCAATAATTCAATGTAACAGTTATCGTTAACTGCCTTTTTTTCTAAAAAAAAATAATAGAGAAATAGCTATTTAGATAAAAGAAGGTAGTTTTATTATAATTTCATTGTTTTTGTAAGTCCTTTTTTCTCGTCTAATTTTTGCGTGAGAAAGTCAATTGATGTTACTTCTTTTTTTTCTCTTTCCACGTTTGACTAATTTTGTTGTAATATTATCTAACTATGTAAATTTTGCATTGTATAAAATAAAAAAAAATTATTTCTGTTTTGTTATGATTTATACTTTAGAATTCTGATTTACCTCTTGATGTAAATAAACGTGATCTAACACAGTAAGTTCATATGAGTAGTTCTGTAGTATTACATTACTGAACTTTAAAAACAAAACACTTTATTTTAAAGCAATTATTCCCTTGTATAAATTTTTTTATGGGACGATCATAAGATGGAATTGATGTTAAAAAAATTTTTCATCGATAATTAAATGTTTAATGTATCATAGAGTTAACATCAACACAGCTTTCAAAACGTATAGTAATTGTCCAGGGCGCATTCTGAAATTTAGAAAAAGAAGCCTTAACTATCAGAATACGCAGACTTCCTTTATGTGTATAGAAACAATTAATTATAACCTTAAATCTACCTTGATAATCTTTATCCATTTCATAGCCTAGGCTGATCGCAGTTTCCTATTATTTCCATTTTATATTAATTTTTTTCTTTATTTTCAGCTATCACTACGTTTATTTTAACTTTTATTTAATTGACCTTTATTAGTTTTTATAAATGTCTTGACAAGTATACATATAACCGGATTATTCGAAATTTATACTTCGAATAAATCACATTTTTTTCAGATCAATTCCATCTCGTTACTCTAACAAAAATTTATTTTCAACTATTTTCTTAATGTCTATCCAATAGACAAAATATACTAGCTGATATCAAGAGACAATATATGTTTATATTTCATAAACTTTATCATCAGTGAATGACAATAAAATTATTTTAATAAGTGAAATCACTGAAGATGGTTGTGTATTTAAATAGGTTACTTGTTGTCAATGCAAAAATAAATCTGCAACTAACTGATCTTATAACATGTCACGCCAAATTTCTCACCGTAGATACCGTTTATCTAGAGTGCTCTAAACAAAAACTCTGCATCAATTTATATGGTTTAATCTAATGGTTAATGGTTTCATGGATTGACCTCACAGTAACTCTTAGCTCTTTCCCGGTCTGCTCCTACGTCAGATGTCACTGAGCATCGGGGTAAGTGGGGATTAGGCATATCTTATATATGTATATATATCCCAACTGCCCAAGTCAGTGGAGGTTTGTAGCCTCACCGATCCGACTTACTATATCTACTTCGTACTGCGCAACTAACTTCATAATTACTCACAGTAGTCAATAACAATTTAGTGATTGGTTTTAATATGGTTTTAGAGTCAAATTATTTAAACCTTAAGCCTTTTTATCGATAAATGCTTCCTATAACCGAAAGGCATAAAATAATTTAATAATATTGGAATGAATTTCGTGTTTAGAATATTTCAGTGAACCCATATTTAAATGTGTTTATCTATTCATCTTTCTAAATATTGTTAGGTATTTTGATGGTGAAAAAATCGCATTTATTCATAATGTCATAATTTTACTTGGATAAACTTGATTTTCCATGCTTGCCTCAAATCTTTAATCGTCCATTAGTCCTCATTAACATAAAATCAGACACATATGTGCATCTGTTCAAACCACCACACCATTTCGGTACAGAGCAATAAAGTTATCAAGACAATTTCCAGATTATTAGAAGTAGTAATGGTATCGGTAGTAGTAGTTGCAATAGTAGAGAAGATTAGGGTGTAGACACTATAATTCGAGAAGTTAGGATAAACTCACGGAGAAAAATGTATAAGATAATTTTAAAACGCAAGATCTAAGGAAAGTCAAAGAATGTGTTGATGATAAATAGTTGATCAAATTACTTCATTTTTTTAGATTATTATCATTTAGTAACAGTTCAATGAAATATTTAATTTGAGTTTTTTCGCGGTGATTTTTAACTCAGCTTTTATAACATGTCGAAGAAAATTTTCATTAATAACTGCAGTTACTTATTACCTGAAGATAATTCTTTGCTTTTTAACACAGGGTAGATAGTGATGTTTCACAAGATTTGAGTTATTATAACACTAGTGGTGATGAGATTCTCAGCACAAGAGCAATCACAGACGAGATTGAGTTGAAGTCAATCAGCCCAAGTGATGAACTTGTTTCATCTGAACGAATCACTGACTCTACTATTACACAATCCAATAGTACAGAATCTACAAATACACTTACAAAAGAGGATGATAGTTCAGTGATACCTAAGGTAAAATTATTTCTGTACATGTTTACTTCAAAGTATGTTTTTCCCGGTTTTCCATGAAGTACTTATCGTAAATATTTTAGTTCAATGCAGTGTATGTTATGTGTGTACGTTATTTTATGACATTTCGCTTTCTACTATCATCCACTTTGAATTTCGATGCTGATGTCATACAGATAAGCTAAGATATTGACAAAATATAGTTTCCTGTTACCTTTATCAAGATGAGCTAATGTTTAGTAATCTTTAACATTATTTTATATCTATGCATAGATGATTGGGGTATACAATCCGTAGACTTGCTAATTAATTCATTAATTAGACCATGAAAAGTTTATCATTAGTGAATCATTATCATGAAAGAGAGAACTGATTATGTATTGTGGAATGTAAATCGTAACTTTGTTTGCTTACTAATTACTAGATTTCTAAGGTTGTACTTTTAAAAAGTATTTTCGCATAACATCACACGTAAACTGTACTTCATGGCCGAGAGTATAAACCTGGAATGTTATTGTATGATCTAGATGGTGTATGATATTACAGTAGTAATGACATTATTGATTATGTTTACTGAGAACAGATTGTAGCTGATTATATGAAGTATTTGAAGAAAGTAGCGGAAATTTCCAATCTATTCACTATATAAACTTATCTCAGTTTTCCCACATATTCGTGCACCAACCATTCTCCATCGGTTTCGTTTCTCTCAGTTTTTATGAAGGTTAAATATTATACATAAATTTTCTTAAATCTTTGTATACTTCATGAATTTCTTCCTTTTCACAGGTACCTCCAGTATTACGAAAAACATAGTGTTATATTCGTATATATATATATATATATATATATACAAAGTTTATGTTATCTACCATTTCGGCTGGAGACAAGATAATGTCGCATTGTGAAAAGGACTCATTGCCAAACCTTACTTGTAAACACGCGTTGCAAACTAATTTTTCTTTTTTACTGATATAATCTTGATTTCTATTGACTAACAGTAGTGATATTTCTTATTTATCAGTTGGTATTTTATTACTATTACTATTCCGATCTATTCACTTCTAATTCGTTATTTAGTTTCATTCTGTAACTGAATAATAGTATCTCTGTACTCTCTTCTTTTTTTGTTAAAATCCCCATTTCTCAATGTGTATATTTTGTATACAAACTACTCGTAAATATTATCGTTAGTAAGAACAATCATTTTCTCTTTGTAATGCTATTTTTATGCATGCCTTAGTTAGACATTTCGCTCTTCGATGTAATCAGTGTGGATATTTTTAGGAAAATGTAAATTAAAAGACTGCTTAAAAGTGATTTCAAGTTAGATTTTATTCCAAAAGTAAGTTACTTAAAATTCATTTTCATTGTTGGTATTGTTGGCTTTTTTAAACTCGACTAACTGCCTCCCATAATTTAACGTATACTCTCACATGTTCAGTTTATCAAAATCTTACTTTTCTATCGATCATTGAGTTCTTTTCGTTACTATTTCAAGAGTTCATAAGAGTCCGTCATTACGTATGTATTTACATCATGAAATATAGTGTCTTCTCAACTTAGATATTTTGCTTATTTATAAGTTGAGTAGTATTACTCTGTCCGTCTGTTGTTTAAAATCATTGTATCAACTGGTTCCCTAAAGGTTCAAAATCTAACAGAAGAATAATCGCTTTCATAACTGCTAACGTGTAAATTTCATCTCTATTATTCTGTGGAGAATTTCCTCATTAAGGAGAAGTTACATGTACATACAATACTCGATCGTTCTAATTTTTGCACTGAATATTCAATACTATATTCAAATGAGGTTTGATTTGCCAAAGTAAATCTACCTTTGTTGTCTTTATTACTTTTTTTTAGAAAATAATTAATGGGGACGTTATTCCTAAGTTTTATTAATAACTTATATATCAAGTAGTGGAGTATTCTAATAATCATTGAAAATACAAGTTAAATGAAGAGATTTTTGTTTTTAATTACTTACAAAAATCAACACATTCTTTGTATTACCCTCAAAAGTTATCAAGTTTAAAGATAAATACCATATATATTACTGATTACCTGCATCTGTATTAGGAATTTGACAGTTCATTTGCTTTTAACACTAAACACTTGGTGTTAAGGATTGCACATAAAGGTGAAATGATAATAGACTTCCAAAATGTAAATATAAATTAATATCAATCCTATTATAGATCTGTTTTATTGAAAAAAAATATTTACCTTTCCTCGACAGATTGATCAATAAATATTACTTGCAATACAACAAGACTAATTATTTTAGATCATGGTCCTTGCGTTTCTAAAGAAAATATAGACGAAATGGAATATGTACTCATTATGTATTGAAAATTATACTTTGTAAACTCCGTCTTTTGTATCGCAACAGTAGTACCCTGTGAGCAATTACATCTGATTGATTATATTTTAAAAGTACGTAAACCAAATGCTTATTAAATTATGTATAAGCACTGATCGATTAACTTTTTCTCACATATCCAACTGTACATAATACCATTATCTAATTGATTCATTTTCCTCAGTAATGTGAAACACTAATAAGATGTTTACTATTTATGTAGGGGTTTGTGTTGATTATTAATGTTTCTTAGATTGCATCGTAAACTAGTATTTAGACAACAACTGAAAACCAGGAGACCCTGGACAGTTGTCTCATCTTAGTGTAGGACTCAGAGGTTCATATCCACGGTCAGGGATGTTAACTATAATGAATGTTTTTTGCTTAAGTTGAATCCTCATTCCAGTCAGTGGATTTTGTTCAGCTGTGACAATGTATGTCAGCAATTATACTTTATAAATTGTGTTGTGGTGTTATTTAAAAAACAAAAGGTAATCTATTTTTGTTGGTTTTTACTAACCGTACTTGGTGGTAATGGTTTCCACTTTGAAGTTCTAGAAATACAGTGATTTTATTGTATCCAATTTTCAGAAAACAAAGGCAGTATTAGGTTATTGGAATCAACATAATAACTTTTACTAATGCCACTCGGATTAAAAATAGACTATAGTAAAGTCCATATAACACTAATTAAATTGTAGTCAATTAATACCAATGAAAATATATTACACTATTTTCATTTACTAAATATACTGTACAGCAAAATAATATTTGTTGAATTGTGTTTTATCAGAAGGGGTTTGTGGAGATTTCTAGAAATTTTCACAGATTGAAATCATGAGTCAGTTGAAGCTAGACCACCACTGAAAACCTGGAAGCACTGGACGGCCGTTTCGTCCTGGTATGGGACTCCTCAGCAGTGAGCATCCACGATCCCGCACCACGCGGGGCTCGAACCCAGGACACCGTTGGATGCCGGCTAAGTGGTCTAATGGTTAAGTGCTCGCGCGCGAAGCCAGTAGGTCCTGGGTTCGAGCCCCGCGTGGTGCGGGATCGTGGATGCGCACTGCTGAGGAGTCCCATACCAGGACGAAACGGCCGTCCAGTGCTTCCAGGTTTTCAGTGGTGGTCTAGCTTCAACTGACTCATGATTTCAATCTGTGAATTGTGTTTTAGTCTTTACGTATTTTGGTTGTCAAATAATTTTATCAATGAGAAGTCATGGCGAGAAAAGGCATTAACTCTTAGATCTTTATATATGACTAGTCTTTCTTAACCCACTAGGTCTCATTATATTTAGGTATTAAAGCGCCTCACTGCTAACCAGTGGATAATATATTATGATCCTTCCACCAGCTATATAGGTTCGGACATCGTTTGTATCTATAATTATCCGTAGGTCAAACTGAGTGCACATAAATGTACTTCGCCAATGCATTTGCATAAATACTAGTCTAAGCTGTATAGTATCTTATTCGTCTAGTTAGTCAATAGTTCTTTATTCTGAAATTTTGTTGAGTTAGAAAATTGGTTCCATGACGTGTAGGGGTACGTCAGTCACTCCAACATTTAACACATATACGTGTAATTGAGTAAATTAAGTTGTTGTGGTTAGCTAATTGATGGTTTTGGTTTATCTTTCCAATTTTTTAACCAATAGATAAACATGGTTCTCTACAGTGGTTAAGATAACAACCATGTTAGTCAAGTAATGTTTGCATACTGAAACAATAAAGAATTATAAAGGAAAATACCTGAATATCTCTCGTATGGATCTTCTTTTGTGTACCATATATATTACTAAAATGAAATCAGTGGTGTGGGTTGTACTCAACAATTTAGACAGCTTTGATCATTAGGGATTGATGTGTGAGGATACATTTCTTTAGCTGGATTGGTTTACATCAGTACTTTACAAAAAGTAATATTCATCGTGGACAGTCTGACGGAGTTGTCAACCTACATATTGTTGTGAGTAAAGGAATATATCTAAGAATAGGACTTTCACTTCTTTAGTGCTACTAGTAATCAAAAACCCTTCGTTTAGAGATTCTTGAATCTGAGCAACTGAATAACAGAAAAAATGTGCATTGTCTGGTTTGAGACAACACTTTTCTATCATTTTCGTGCACACAATGGGGATCTATGCAAATTGGAGTACTGGTGTATAAGTACGCGTCACTTTTAGAAGTGATATTCCGATATAACTTATCTTTTAATAATAAAACAGGAGTGAGGATCACACAATGATTTGGACGCTTAAAACGGTGAACGGTCACTGAAATAACCCTGTCTTAATAAAACTAACATTATCCTCAATGTGATCTAGTTTCTGAAGAATGGCCAAATATTTTTCTGTACATACAACCTTATTTGGCGTAGGTCATCAAGTGGCGCAATCTGTTAGCTGTTGCATGAAACAAACTGACCATGCTCAGGCTTAGATATTCATGTCTGAAAATACTGAAGCTTAGCGACTAGCTCAGAGTTTGTAAGGTTAAGTTCAACTTAATTTTGTGGCTTCGCATGTAAATATGTAATTCATCTTATCTATTTCTAACTGGGTAAGGCAATAAACTGAGGACTGTTATATTCATTATTTCTGCGTTAATGGATCTAATGTTATTGTTCCTGAAAGTATATTTACTCATTTGGATAACCTATCATGTTTAGTTAGTCAACTAGCTATAACATAGGACCAGGCATATATGTACATCGGTCCAAGTTGCCATACCTCATTAGCACAACAAGAACACCGGATTCATAGAAGTAGTTAATTCAGTGGTGGTAATATATAAAAGAAAGATTACGTATAAGGACATAGTACAGGAAGAAAGAATTAGTTAGTAGAAAGAAAGATATGAAGCGATTTTAATCTCATAGTTTAAAGGAAGACAGAGAGTGTATACACCTAGACCATTGTGATCAATTCTGAGTCGTCACCCAGAGTCTTCAACCATTGGTTACGATAGTCATGCGGACCCCAACCAAGTAGTTTGTATCTACCAACATGGCTCAGACGAGAAGTTGGTGAATTCAAGCACTGATGCCACGTTTCGGTTTGTTTCGTAGAGATCTAATGATTGTGAAAAGGATTAAATCGACTGAAAAGTGAAAAATTTCTAAATAATATCAAGGCTATGCTTTTTTATAATTTGATGATTTTATATCAATACTTGCCAGTAGAATTTCATTAAACGTTATACAAGACGAGTCACCAAACTCATGGCTAGATTTATTAGAAACAGTTTTGAAAAGGTAGTCCTATTTCCTGCTAACAACTTTTTACGGACATGAAACTATTATTTCTAACATCATGGTAGGCGGAGATCTGAAACAACTGGACTAGGCATCTTCACTGTATGATTCTAATAGTCATATAAATTCTCTATTTACAACTTCGAGTAGTTCATTTTATATTCAAAAGCGACTGAATTTGTCCGGTGGTGTTTTTTACGATCTTATTTTTGACACGGGCAGTATCATTTCCATCATTTCTGTTGCAAAACTAAAGTCATTAGATCCCGATGTAATACTTAAGCCTGCCGAGGTTTCTTTTTCGAGTACTACAGGTCACAGAATTTCCATTCTTGAGTGTTGGAATTTTCTGATTAAAGACCACAAACATTCACACCTAAACTGTCAATTCATTGTCACTGGTTGTGCTCATCTGATTCGTACTGATTCAAATTGCTTTATTTCAGGAGTACTTATTTAGCACATTAATTCCAATATTTCTCATTATCATAGTTTCGACCCTAGATTTCAGACTATTGGGTAGTATTCTGGAGTTTATATATAGTACTAAACTGGTAAACTTATCATAGTGTGGTTGACTGACCATTTCATGACTTACCAGAACATTTGATCTTATGTACAAGTTACGTGACTTTCCACATTGATTTGGCCTACTTCGATAATCGGGGTATACAGTTTTACACTAATTTTCGAGCAGAGATGAAAGATATTATCAAAGATACCAGTCTTAGATGACCGAGTTACACCTTAGTAAACTTCCATCGGCCTTTATTGACCTTTTCGAATTTCATCTACTGTGCGGTATTCAAAGTTAGAACTTCATATATGACATATTATGATCAATGTAGCACGTAGGTAAAGCTTAGTGTTGTTTTTTGGATTTAACAGTCTTATTCTGTAGTAATGAAACAGTACTACGTCAGTCCGGTGATTTTCATCCCCCTCTATTTTTACTTTGTTTCCCAACACAAAAAGTGCAAAAGTATCACAAATTAAATAAAACGATCCGCTACACATAAACGAAATTCGAAATACGTTGATAGATAGATTAACTAAAGGAAAACGTGAAAAGTACGATCTTTCAAATCCTAACGTTAACGTAATGATACAGCCAATTAGAGAACAATGATTATCGACCGCTCCAATGACACATAAAACCCGTACGAGCAGTCTAGATTCGTTATTGGTCCTGCTTCCTGCCTAGCGCTGCCTGTTAATTTCAGAACACCAATCTCAGCCTCTGCAATATGAATAATTTATTTCAAACATACTGAGTATATTTACATACCAAACATACCACATCACTCAATAAAGTAGAAAATAACATTTTTACAAGAT